AAAAATAGATACGCAGATATAAAACTTTTATATAAAGAAAACTCGTAGATAATATATGTTGCACAATTTTAGTTGCCTATGTAAAATAACTTTTGTGTATAATACAAATAAGAAAAATGCGATAAATATATCTTTTGTATAAAAGACATAAAATAAAATAAATATAAATAAATAAACTACGCAGTTGTGACACAGAACGAAGCTCACGGCCGTTGTTCATTCATCATTTTAGAAGTCAAAGTGGAGGTCAAGACGGAAGATGACCCTCAGGTTGCCGGAGACGGACAGCAGGACATTCAAGAGACAGAACGTCAGCAGGAGCAAGACGCCGCAGCTCAGGCCGAGCAAGTCAAAGTGGAAGCCGACAAAGGTGGCAACTACGGCCGCAAGAGACCGCACGAGGAGAGCAGGAGCTACGGCTACTACGAGCACCGCGAGGAAAAGAGGTACGCTCGTCATCAAGTGTTCGGCAGCAGAGCGGGGAAGTGTCCGAGCTTTGGCTGTTCTGTTTTCATGTTTTTTGTCAGTCGGTGTGGGTTGTAAAGGCTGTTGACTTCATGCTCCGTTCATATTGTACAGATCCCGAACACCTCAGCCCCCCGCTGAAGACGAGGAAGAGAACATAGACGACACTCTGGTTACGATTGATACGTGTAAGTAAGACGATCCCAGGTGGAGGCCCTCCGACTGTGAAATCCTCTCCGTTAGAATCGCTATTTCAGTTGAACTTTTCTAGGTTTTAAATAACTCATTGATATACATTATGAATCGTACTATATTAGTATTTCTCCAAAGGTCAGCTCAGGTCAAATAGATTCAGCTACGACCTAAATTCACAACCCAACGTCTGCTGGTCAGTAATGGTGTTTGATGAAGACAGATAAGAAGGAGGTGTACCGCAGTGGTTTTCCATCTGGGGACCCACAGAAAAGTTAGAGAAGAGTTTAATTTCAGTATTTAATTGACGGGAAGTTAGCCCAATGATAGATTGTAACACACAAGAAGCATTTTATTGCCAAAGCTGCTATAAATCACACTAATCTCATACGTTTGTGCAGTTTAGACTGTAGCAACGTATGTTTATATCGTGTTTTGCATTTAAAATGTGTTATAAACAAATACATTTATCTTTTTTTTTAACTTTTCTTTTTAATCCTTCTCTTCAGACAACTGTGATCTTCACTTCAAAGTGTCCCGAGATCGCTACAGCGGCTATCCACTGACCATCGAAGGCTTTGCTTACCTGTGGGCTGGAGCACGGGCTTCACACGGTGTCACCCGGGGTCGCGTGTGTTATGAGATGAAGGTAATAAAGAAAGGAGCGTCTCCTCCTTTAAAAACAGACAGACGCTTTTCTGAGGAGTTAGTGGTTTCTGTATGTTGTGTCCACGTGTGACCTAATGGTCCCTGATAGGTGAGACAGGCTTTATGTGTTAATTACTTTTAAAACAGGATGAGTGGGTCGTTTTGTTGCTCCTATTAACACACAGTTGTTGTTAGCATCGTACGTTAGGAGAGACCTCAGGGGAGATTTTAAAACATTTAGGTAAGAATGGAGATAATATCCCACACTGCCTAATCTTGAAATCTATCTGAACACCTTGTTATTTTACAGAAGTTACGAGCTTTTACTAAACTAATCTCACTAAGGCATTTGCTTGTTCGTTAGCTACCGTCCAATTAGGTGATTTATTGCTGTTATACATCTTCTCTAGGCTTGTTTTTGACCTGATATGTCTCCCGCTCTTCAGATCAATGAGGAAATCCCTGTAAAGCACCTGCCCAGTAGTGAGCCAGACCCCCACGTGGTCAGAATTGGATGGTCACTCAACCACTGCAGCACTCAGCTTGGTGAGAGGAGCGACTGCTCGAACAATCACGATGACGTTTGACCATGAATAAAACTTTGCTGTGAAAAGAGAGCTAAAATAGAAACGATGCATTTCATTCTGTCTTGTTTTAGGTGAGGAGGCCTTTTCCTTTGGATACGGTGGAACAGGAAAGAAATCCTCTGACTGCAAGTTTGCGGACTTCGGTGAAAAGTTTGGGGAAAACGACGTCATCGGCTGTTACATTGTACGTAAATGTTACTTTGGCATCGAATAAGGATCGTTTCAGGATAAAATGTACAGTTTCGACAAGTAAAACTCATGATGCTTTTTCTCTCTGCCCCATGACAACTTCAGGATTTTGACAGTGGCGACGAGGTGGAGATGGGCTACTCCAAAAATGGAGTGTCGTTGGGCGTGGCTTTTCGGACAACCAAGGAGGCGCTGGCAGGCCGTGCCTTGTTCCCTCACGTTCTGGTGAAGAACTGTGCTGTCGAGTTCAACTTTGGACAGAAGCCGCAGCCGTACTTCCCCGCACCAGAGGGATACACCTACATCCACGATCTCGAGATGGAGGACAAAATTAGAGGCACTAAGGGACCTGCCACCAAATCTGAATGCGAGGTGTGTGGCGGTTCGGGGCCGCAGAAAATTAGGTTCTGATTGTCGTGGACACAGCACACATAAAGCCCAACATTTTTACACAACATTGAATGATTATATTATACATAGTGGAAGTAAATGGACAAGAATTAGATGTTTCTTCTGTCAACAGAAAAAGATACATAACTGTTAATTGTAATAAATCAAACACGTTTCCTTTTAGTAGGAACTGGAAAGTAAATCATGACTAAATTAATTTTCTTTGTTCTCTTTTTATTTTTAGATCTTGATGATGGTTGGCCTGCCTGCCTGCGGAAAGACCACCTGGGCCATAAAACACGCAGAGACTAACCCTGAGAAGAAGTACAACATCTTGGGCACAAATGCCATCATGGACAAGATGAAGGTTGGTTTGGGCCACCGACCACAAACTAAATTACACTTTCACACGGTTTTTCCGTCAGTTATTGCCTCACTTAACTGTTTTGGTCTTCAGGTGATGGGTCTGCGTCGCCAGAAGAACTACGCCGGGCGCTGGGATCTTCTGATACAGCAGGCCACCCAGTGTCTCAACAGGCTGATCGAGATCGCTGCCCGCAAGAGACGCAACTACATCCTAGATCAGGTACTGCCCTCCCACCCACACTCTGCTCTCATACTCGCCACAGTCAGTCAATGTGCCCTGATGCTCACTCTCTCTAATGGCCTATTTATTTATCTTTCAGGGGGCTCTGTGTATTATAGAGTAGAAGAAGCATTGATCACCCTCTTGTCACTTGCTTGTCATGTATTGTAAAAGAAAATGATTAATGGCTCTCATAAGTGACAGAATATTTCATGTTTTCATCCCTCAGTATATTTGCACTTGCTATTTCTTGTCATAATACAGTATTGTTTGTCTTGTGAATTTCAACAATGTACAAGTAAACCATGACTATGTAAAGATGTTGAGAAACAAGTAAGCTCTGACTGGTGAGTAAGAAAAACACCTTCTGTTGCTAATTTAATAAGACAGAGTTGATAGCTTTTTTAAAAGCTATTTTTAAGTGAGATACATGGAACTTTTGAGTGTGTTTTTTTAATAAATTGACCCTGAAGGTAAGTAATGACTAACAGTCTTTAGATTTTCAGATTCTTGTGCTCAGTAAGTGTGAAAAAGGTAGGTGGGTCTGATGTCAGACTGGCTTTTCATAGGACACTGTGAGTATCTGCAGGTAGGTTATATCTGTCTGTTGTTGTCTTGACTGGGACTAGAGGCCTTATGAAGATGAGGTAAGTCAAGGTAAGCGTGGTGGGGCCCCCTCAGAGTAGCTGAGTTGTTTTTGATGTAGCACGCGCTTGTAGAAGACGAGTGTATGAGATTGATTATAAAGTTTTGTTGTAAAGGTTCGGAAAGAGAATTTATAGAGTTGTCGGACCACGTGGCTGATTTTGTAGATGCTGTCAGTGGAAATGATAGTGTATGAAAGAAAAAAGCAGTAGAATATGGATGTTGGGAATTAAAGGAGATGCATGTGATTTAATTAATTGTAAATCACATTAGGTACAGAACAAATTAAACTTGTATACAAGGAAAAAAGATTTTATGGTACTTAAAATAATTCTATATCCTGTTATTACAACGTTGCTTTGATATAAACATTAACACTGCTTAAACTACAATACTTTTTACGTGTGATTATCTGTTGTGTAGAAATGACTTGTTACAGTGAACAGGGAGATTGATTGTTTGACTGATTGTAGCTGCTACTTTGGGAAGCTTTAATGTTGAGTGGTGAAGTGAGTGTAACTTCTGATGATGGTGAATCATCTGCCGTGTTTGAACAGTATCTCTGTGGCGGTTTGAGTCATCGATCTAATCTGTATGTTGGTCTAATCAGGCGTATGTTATTAAGATCGAACACCAGAGGATTTGTTAAGAAACGTTTTCATTCCACTTTTTAGTTTCTTAAAGAGAAATTTGAACCCGCTGTGTGTTAGTACACATGCGTTCATAAATATGAATCGTTAATAGAATATGGTAGGACGGAGATATTTAAAGTTTGGCTAGACAAGTAATACTATTAACACACATATTATACTCACCCAGTTTTATGAAGGATGTTTTCGTTCCCAGTTGTCATAGTGGCCCGCAAATGCCTAATACTGGTGTAACTAACTCGAGTATTGTGTAGCAAGCTATAGAAAATGTTTATTTTTATTGTGTGACCAATGAAAATCAGCCAGCATCTTGCTTGTCATGGCAGATGACGTCTTATTGTAGCCTAAATGAGCTAAATCTACCTTTTTTTTATTCAATAACAGGCAAAGAATTTGAACCATTATTCTGTAGAAATGAGTTAATAAGCTGAATTAAAATTGATACAATCAGCAGTAATACAGACCCATTTGAAATGCATTGTAGGGGCGTCGCACATTTTAACTGCGTTTATTCAGTTCTGTAAGGGCACAGATAATAAATCTAGTTTTCTCACAATAGAATCCAATAATGTATAAAAACATATTTACAAGCAGCACATTTTCACTGCATGAATAAGGACAATAACTGCTTACATCAGTTTGAATATCTATTTTAGTGTCGATTGATCTGAAACTGTTAATGCTATTAACCGGGCGAACATACTGTACAGTGCAGTCAGTGTTTCTGGGGCCCCTCCTTGTCCATAATTAACCTTCATCAGCAGCCGCCGGGCAGCTGGGTGCACAGACCGTGAGGTAAGTCTGTGGAGTGATGAGAGGCCATTAGAACCTGAGTAAAAGCGTAGACTGACATCCAAGCCAAACCTCTCTCACTTCATTATTGCAGGGTTCCAGCTTCCATCCAGTGGAAAGCCATTACAAGTAAACAATAACAAACAAGCTTCTACTTCTTTCTTGTCACCATTGCTAGACAAATGTATATGGATCAGCAAGGAGACGAAAAATGCGTCCTTTTGAAGGTTTTCAACGCAAGGCTATTGTAATTTGTCCCACGGACGAGGATTTAAAAGAACGAACATTAAAGCAAACCAATGAGCAGGGGAAGGATGTGCCCGATCATGCTGTTTTAGAAATGAAAGGTAGGAATGCTGTGGAAACAACAAATAAAACACCAGATCTACTTTTTACTTTTCTATGTGTTGTCTCTAAAATCAAACTTGGAAGATACCCCCTCCCCCCTTCCCCCATCATAGGCTTTGGCCAGATATCAGACCTGGACATTTTTTTAAACCGTCCACATGAATTTGATTCTTCCTTATTTTTGCCCTCTATCTGCCACTCGCCATACAGCTTACTTCTAATGCACTGCAAACTGAGACTTGTCGAGGTCGTGTAACGGTAGAGTTAAATATTGCCCAATTTGCTTCCCTAAAAAGGACGTTTCCAAATGGCAAACTTACAAGCAGTCACATGCTGAAGTTGTTGGAAGTTAATTTGTAACAGCATTACGTCAGCTGTCCTTGGTTTGCAGTGCTGTTTCCTCCTCTCACCAACCTTCTAGTTGCCCTTTTTATCCCCTCCCCACCTCTACTGAACTCCCCCCTCTCCTTTGTCTGCTTAAACAAATTTTTCCTCCATGTTCCCCTGGAGGTGATGTTTGTTCCCTTTTACCCCGCCATCTGCTTTCATCTATCTGCTCTTAGTTTCTCTATGATTTCCACTGTCTCTGTATGGTAGTAATTATTTTTCATTTTGTCTTTCGGTGGTGTGGCTACTCTGGTCTTCACTACAACCCCCCACCCCTCTCTTTCTCTCTCTTTCTCTCCATCCGTCTCTTGCTGGATGGACTGTCTCTCTCTCCTCCTCCTGTGGTCACCTCTGTCACTCTCCAAGCCAACTTTACTCTCCCTGAGGCTTGCGACTTCCTGGAGGGGGTGACGTACATTGAGCTGCAGCGCGAGGAGGCAGAAGCTCTGTTGAAGCAGTACAATGAAGAGGGCCGCAAGGCTGGCCCACCCCCTGAGAAACGCTTTGACAACAGGCAGGGCGGGTTCCGGGGCCGCGGCGGCAGCGGCGGCGGTAGCTTCCAGCGGTATGACAACCGTGATGGGTCCCGCGGTGGCTACCAGAACCGCAGTGGAGATGGAGGCAGTGGATACAGAGGTGGTGAGTGGAGCAGTACCTCATACGCTGTGTTTATTTTGGTCATGTAAAGCTGTTGGTTACAGTCAAGTCATAGCTAAACGCAAGTTTCTGACAAACTTGTTTAACAACACATACCGCTGTTTTAACAAGATTGCCAGGTGCATAGCTCTGTGATTTGAATGTAACAGCACTTAGGCAAAAATAGGGTTGGTATTTTGGTATACAGAGAAGCTGTGTGTGTTCCAGTTGTTACATCATTTTTGTTTATCCAGCCGGCTACAATCGTGGCAGCTATAACCAGAACCGTTGGGGCAACAGCTACCGCGACGGAGGCTCTGAAGCACGCAGTGGGTATAACCGCAGCCAACAGTCAGGGGGCAGCTACAACCGCCCGGCCCCTTACAACAAGGGAGGATACAACCAGGTACGTAACATGACCGTTGATGTATGAAATTTGGGGGAATGATGAAATGAAAAGGCGGACTATATGTAATAGTAAATGAATGTGTTGTGAACTTCCTGCTTCACCTCCAGGGCTACAGCCAGAGTTACAATCAAGGATACAACCAGGGCAACTACAACCAGAGTTACTACGGCAACTACAGTCAGTACCCAGGATACAGCCAGAGCTACAGCCAGACACCTGCCACTGCGCAGACGTACAACCACCACCAGCAACAGCCACAGCAGCAACCACAGCAGCCGCAGCAACAGCCACAGCAAACACAGAGCTACAACCAGCAATATCAGCAGGTAGACTAATGAATCCCCCCCTGTCCTTACCTTTCTTTGAAAAACGAGATTTAAAAATGTTACATTCTCTCACTGCTTTGTTTCTGTTTCTTCCTCCAGTATGCTCAGCAGTGGCAACAGTACTACCAGAACCAGAATCAGTGGAACCAGTATTACAGCCAGTACGGCAGCTACCCTGGACAGGGCAACCAAGGTTCATCTTCTGGTTCCCAGTAGCTTTGCTCTGCATCTGTACCTGCATCCACCTGTGTCCTAAACACTCTGACCTCTGCAGCAAATTGATTTTGTACAGTCTCACATCAAGTCCCCCAACCATAACTGTCTCTGTCTGGTTTTACACAGTAGCCTTCATTCATCACCAATCATTGTACACATAAACTGTATACAGTTCGATGTCTTTTCATTTTTTTACTGAATGAAGTCTTAACCTAAGCAGAAACCGTGAGGTGGTAGATGATAGGTATCAAAACATTTAATGAATGTTATCTATTATGCATTGAATGCAGATGTCTGTTGAACTGCAAACTCTACATTTGCTACAGGTTGAGGGGGGTAATTGTATATTTCTAGGATTCATAGTGTGAAAAAGTGACAGGGCAGGAAAATACAGCAACGCCTGATTAATTTTGCTTGTTTTGAGAAGCTTAACAAAGAACAAAATGCATGCTTTTACCTTCATGGCCCTTTCCCCTGTCTTGCTCTTTATTTTTCAGTTTCTGAGTGAGCACATTTTATTTACTCCAATAGAATTCAAACATGGAACATTTTTTATAGGTGTTGATACTGTAGTATTTAAGCGTTAATCCAGTCTTTGATTGAATTGAATATTTTGCCACTCTGAGTAGTTGTATCTGCAGTTTTTTTTTATCCCTTAGTGATTGGTGTTCATTGAGTCCAGTAGTTAAATCCTGTTGTCAAACCCATTTTTTTCTACCTGAAAATGAAAATCTGATCAGTGACCAGTTACCCAAGCTGTCTTCTTGTCTTTATACAATAAAATGCAATTGTATACGCCTGTTGATGTTTATGTGATCCTTTTTTCTTTTTTTTTTTTTCAAGTCAAACACAACACATACTGCATGATTTATCATTGTTGGTGTATTTTTCTTCAACCAGAGTAAAATTGTGGACAAAGGACAAAACAAAAAAAAGCATTCTGCTACAAATAATATGCCAACTTCGGATGGGATCGCATACGTATAGTTCCAGTGCAGTCCTGCTGAACCTTGAATGAACTTTTGCAGTTACTGAATAGTCAAAAATGTTGTCAGGGCAGGAAATAAACATTTTCTGCTGCTAGTTGTGATGGCTTATGGATCAAGACTTAACAAGCAGCTTTCATGATTTACCAATCAAAGTAGAGGGGGGACATTTTCTTGAAATATAACCAAGACTAACCAGATGAAAATGTGAAAATAGTTCACAAGTAAATCCAATATTGCCATGAAGAAATGGATTCAGTCATTTGCAAAATTGTCTGGACTAATCTAACCAGAGATCTTAAAGGAATAGACACCTCATAAAAAGGTATACATCTTCTGGTTAACAATCAACACATTGTCTCATGGTATGAATATCATATCACCTGACCCAAAGCCAAACAAATGGCAATTCAAACATTTTTGGCAGTGTACTTTCCAAATTCATGAGCACAGTTGTTACATAGCTGCCAAAGTTAAAATGAACCAGACTTTTGTGGAGGTTAGTGTTAATTTCCTACCCTGCATTTATTACGTGTGTGTGTATATGGGATCAGGAAAACCTTTAATGTCTGTTGTCATAAATGTCCTTATGGATTGAGGTTGTGTTGAATCTTAGCACCAGAGAACCAAGGCACCAACATGATGAGGTGTTCATAACTTACAGTAGGACATTTTATGTTTGAAGCCTAAAACAATAAGCCAAACTAATAAAGACCGACAGAAATAAAATAATACAAACATGTCACAAAGACACTTGAAACCAAGTCCATGTATAATTGCTGGCATTCTGAGGTGAATGGCCTGTAAAATCTCATCAGTTCAACACCAGTTCTGTAAGAAACGTGGTGGTATCTGGATATTTTGTCTGTGAAGGGGAATGTCAGAAGATGGGAGTGCTCAGTCTGGCTCTCTGCTCTTGTCTTTGTAGAGATGCAGCTCCTCCACCTTCTCCTGCAGGAAGGAAACAGGCATGGAACAGCCTCTGTTTCTCTGTGGCAGTGTGTTGACCTGGCAAACAGAAAAGAGACAACCTTATCATTGAGAAAACTGCTGTCAAACTGTGGAAAAACCCTTTCAGTTTGTAGTGAGAAAGCTTGTATGAATTGTTGCTTAATCAGTTACTTAATTAGTTAATTAAAAAAGAAAGTCACACTAGTAGTTTTAATGCTATTTTGACTTATGTACTTATAATCCTTAACATAGTCCTTAAAAGGTGGTGAATTATCCTGTGTAAAAGGTACACTGTTTCCAGGGGGGGGGTTTGAATTTGTTGTATGTAATTCCTGAATTCATCATCACCTTTTTCTCCTTTGTACTTAAATAAAACCAAAACTATGGGCTCCTTTTGGTGGTGAGCTGACAGAAGGTACTTTTCTCAGTTCTCTATTGTAAATGATAAAAAAGTTTACCTTTTGAAACAACAACCTGGACACAGAAAGCATTATTTCTTGGTTTAATTTACTGTGTTATTAATGATTTGATCTGTTAACTTAGAAAAGTTTAGTGCACCAGTGGAATTTTACTATGTGGTTGGTTACAGGGAAATTACAGTAAGGTGAGTCATTTAAAAGTAGTGAATTTACACCCCCAACAGCCAATATTGCTGGCTGACTCATCATTTATTAGCTCCTGTATTACCACCAGAAAACGTTAAACCCACATGAATCACTGCAGAAAGCTCTTACTGTCTTGTTTCCGCACATGTAGTCACTCGAGAAATGTAGACATACTAATGTTTCCCAAATTGCTGAGGCCATGAGCATTTGTGACTTAAAAATAGCATAAAAAGCCAGAATGGGTCAAAAAACTGTCTTCCTGTATGATCACCTTTCTTTCTGGGGACGCATGTACAAGAGAGTTGTGGTGGTTTCCCCTCTTGTCATTTTTCTCAGGAGTCCACACTCCAGGATCTGTCTGAGTGGAGCGGTCCGACAGCGCCCAATCACCGGTGTTATTTATCCTAACAGAAGTGCCCTTGTTGTGTTCCGTCTCGTTACTTTGGGGGAAAACAAAGGCCTCCTCCTCTGAACCTGACAGAGAACACGAGACATCAGTGTAATGGGTTCAAGGTCATTTTATAGGCAGGAAATTTTAGGTGTATGTTCTGTATATGAAGAAGAAAGGACGTACTCCAGCTGTTACCCTTGGTTCTTGATTCGGGGGCAGGGGTGCAGGGGCAGGACCCCGTTGTGTTTTTGTGTTTTTTCACACACTCCATTCCCACCAGATCTCTACAGTGTCTGTGACAGTTTATCCCACAGTCTGAAAGACAGAAACAATGTTGAGACTTTAATAGAAGCATTACTACTTAAAGAATCAGTTCAAGTCCAAAAGTTCTGTGGATTTATTGCTTTGAGCACCACAAACCAATTTATTAAATATTTTTTAAAATTAGTGAACTGACCCTTTAACTTCTCTTACTTTATATGCACTTTACATCTGAACATGAAATGCTATCTTACCTTTACAGTGGTAGCCCCGCTTGATGACTCCCCATAGCTGCAAGAGGGCAGACATGATACATGTGATATTGCAGTTTGATTGGCCTATTCATACAAAACCACAAATGGATACAATGGATACTCACAAAGCCTCCACAAGTATCACAATACGTTGGTCGTTTATACGTGGTTTCATGGAAGTTGTGTGCGTCTTTGAAGTTGTAGCCCAGCTTGGCACATATAGACATTCCCCTCATGAAGTAAGAGTTGATTTCTTCACGGCTGATTTGTCCCTCCCTGGGCAGAAAATTTTCCAAAGAGCAACACAAAAGTGAGTAAGTTGGTTGAGGTTTTCATAAGCCATCCAACAGCTCATGTTGTTTCATGTTTTTTCTGTTGTACAGTCACGTCACGGCGAGAGGCCTTTGTGCGTGTTGCAGCTTCCTCACCTGTCAGTTTCGTGAGTGCAGAAGGAGAAGGGGAAGTTGGCTGCTATTTTCTCAAATTCCTCCAGTGAAATGTAACCGTCCTGGTTCTGGTCGTAATTTTTCATTACAGACTGCAGGGGGCAACAAAGCAATCAGATATTTAGTTGCACTTGTCAAGGAGCAGTTGGTTAGTTCTGCTTTAGCCTGCCATGTAATAAGGAAGTGAAAGACAAGAGGTTGTTGCAGAGTCACATACTCACATCCACCATCTGTTTGACATGTTTAGATATGGTGTCAGGGTCGAGCCTGGGGGTGACCCCTGAACCCCACTCTGCCACTACAGGCGGTTTAACTGGAGCTACAGGCTGTGGACCGACAGATGCAGTAATGAGACACGAATGACTGCAAATGTGAGAAACAAGAAAAAAAGCACACCCACCACATAACACGCTTCCCCTAACGTACAGCGCTTTGATGTGGCTGATTTTGATGTATTTTAGCGTTCAGTCTGTGCTTTTGTTTTGAAGATGATGTTACACCCACAGGGAGTACACAAATGTTCCTCCTCTTGTGAAAAGAGGTCAAAACAAGAGTGAGTCTGATGGTTTTAGATAGAGCTGAACTTCAAGGACAAGCATGTGGCTCTACTGACCTGGATCTTAGGATTCTTGGGTTCCTTGGTGTATGAAAGTTCATATATCTCATCCTCGGTGTAGTATAAATCTAGAGAGAGCTGAGGCATTGAAAGAACATAATGTAAGATGTTCTTCGTGGGAACTTTTTATCTGCATTCTTATAAAATAATCCAGTTTCTGTCTCGTACCGTGAGTAGATGGAGAAGGTCTTTGTTGGCCTCGAAAGGCGGCTTGCAGCTGTGAATGGCCAGCAGGTCATTGATGTTGCTGTACAGGTGCTGCAGCTTGCTTAAGTTGATCTTATCCTCATCAATGTAGTCCGGCAGGGCCTCATTCAACGAGATCAGATCCTTCAGGTGGACGCCCAGGATAGGCACCTTGAAGCCACTGCACTCATTGTAAACCCGCCGGTAGTTGATGTAGTTGCTGCGTGAGGAGAGCAGCTCTGTCATCTCACTCAGGGCCTCAAAGAGGATAAGGATCAAGAAAGTAATGATAAATGAGCCTGTCATGTGTCTCTGTAGTTACTTATTCAGACTTGAATATAACCATAAAAAATAACCAAAAAATAACTTTATGCTATCAAATAAGGTGGTATAGAAAATATTCTATGTACAATGTAGATGCAGCTGATGGCCTTGCATTAAACTATGTGTTAGTATATTATTTATTTTAGGGTGTGAATAGTAGTTACTTTTTGTTTAAGTCCAATGTAACAGAACCAACTAAAAAGACAGAATTGATAATGATAAGACAAAGAAACCAGTGTGTTGCCCCTCAAAAGAAAACAAGAAGTGAAAATGTGACGTATACATGAATAATCTTCCAATTTGCTGTTACATCCAAAAGTTTTATTACTCTCCCTTACATAAGTATAAGTTATATTGATTGCTGGAACCTGAACACACTGAGTTAATTTCATAGTTAAGATTTTTTTTTTAAAGAGCTCTAATGCCACCAAATTCCCCCAAATATATCTTGACAGACAGTGAATGTAGAAATAGTGAAAACACAAAACAAATTATGAATAAAAAATATGACATGAATACACTGAAATCCAAAAATGTCAAAGAAAGAATAATCATAGCTTGGTGGTGAAGTAGTTTGACTCATAGTCACATTTACACATAGTAATATTTAAAATACCTTAGTGATGTCAGGAGGCAGCAAGTTAGAGGTGTCTTTGAGGCGGGAGATTGAGCTGTGACAGAGGCCTCCAGTCACTGCCATTAGAGTGTTAAAGTTTTGCAGAGCTCGAAGTTTCTGTAGAGGAAAGTGCACTGTGAATGACTGCGGGGTGTGAAATGGCA